AAAACAAAAAAACAAAAAAAAAAGAGGGAGAAAAAGGGGGGGGAGGGATGAAAGGAAGGAAGGAGGGAAGGAAGGAAGGAGGGAGGGAAGGGAGGAGGAAGGAAGGGAAGGAGGGAGGGAGGGAAGGAAGGAAGGAAGGAAGGAAGGAAGAATATGAGACAGAAGAGTGGAAGTGAAAGGAGTGGTCAGGTTTAGAGCCTGCCTGGGAGGTCAGACACATGACTGACTGGCAACCATATTGTTGGGAGAAGGAAGTTTTACAGAAAGTAAAAAAATGCAAGATGCTAGGGGCAGCCCAAAGCCTTAAAGAAAACATGTTTAGTAAGAAAGGCATGAAGAAGAAAAAGGGAAATTAGCTTCCCTGAAGAATTCAAGGGAAGTGAGCAAATAGCTAGCAAGTCCGTGTTCCCCCCAGCCTCCACCCCTGCAGGATTACAAGCAGGAAAAAGTCGCTATCTCATTAACACACTAGGTATTCTGCCCATCTATTTAGCATAACTCCCCCTTCCTAGGGGTGATCCTATGACCAATAATTGACCAGTTAAACTTACATAAAATGAAGGTGCTTGTGGTATTACAGTTAAACTTAGGGTTCATGACCTCATACACATAAATAATTGCAAATATTCCTAAAGCTTATATCAGCGCTGGTATGTTGACCTTTGTAGACGAGTATTTTTGTAGGTAGTTCATAGTCCCAAGAAAGCACCCCAAAGGTGAGTGATGTTATAAACAAGAGTAATCACAGTATAAACTAAGTGTAGGCCTGTTGCCATATGAGGTAGGGGAGCCAAAAATGACTACCAGAAAGAAGTCTTTCTTTCTGGACTTTGATTTTACTGAGAGAAAATCCTGTGTGGTTTTTAACAGCTAATATAATGCCTTCGTCGTCTCATCTCTTTGGCTTAGTGCCATGGAGACCACCAGTGCCAGTTCCTGGGAAGTCCTTCCACCATCCTTCATATCCTGGAACCATGCCTATGACTGCAGGAGTACCAGGTGGGGTGCACAATCAGTTCATACCTTTGCAGGTAAGAGCTAGAAGGAGTTGTGTTTTTTTAATGTTTATTATTTTTTAATTTTATTTTATGTGTATGAGTATTGCCTGCATGTATGTGAGTGCACCCATGTTGCTCAGTATTCACAGAGGTCAGAAGAGGGTGTTGGATCCCCTGGAACTGGGGTTATAGACAGTTGTTAGCCACCATGTGGGTGCTGGGAATTGAACCCAGGTCCTCTGCAAAAACAGCCAGTGCTCTTAATCACTGAGCCATCTCTCCAGCCGTATAAATATTTTTAGTATTTAGTTTATGTTTAATTATGTGTATGAAGGGGGTATGTCCACATGCTTACAGGTACTGCTGAGGCCAAAGGCATTGGATTCCCTGGAGCTGGAGTTAGAGGCAGTTGTGAGTTGCTCATTTGTAGGTTCTGAAAACCCACAGGCTTTCTGCAACAGTAGTACAGGCTTTTAACCACTGAGTCATCCCTGCAGCCCCTATTATAAATACTTTGTTGCAACTAAATTATTTGCATTATTAAAATCTTATTTGGAGATTGTTAAGTGGAAAGTCACAAATCAGAAGTGATTGGCAGATACTAGCAATGTAGTTTATGGTATTTTCTGGCAGGTTTTAATAATGCTTTTATTCCTTAAAGGTTACAAAGAAAAGGGTTGCAAACAAAAAGAATTTTGAGAGTAAAGAAGCCCAGAGTTCCTCTCAAGCCACACCACTTCAGACTAGCAAGCCAGGATCTTCTGAAGCCACCAAAATGATTCCACAGAAAAGTACACCAGCCTCTCCAAAGTCCTCTCAGGTTGCTCAGCCTGTGTCTCCTCAAGTTGAAACTGCCTCCCAAGGCCACAGTGCATCTCACCAGAAGTCAGCACCGAGTTCTTCCTCAAGAAGAAAATCAAGGAAACTGGCTGTCAATTTTAGTGTTTCTAAACCTTCTGAATAAATTTGGTACCTTGGAATTCATTTATTTTATTTCCATCTACCTTTTTATAAATTGGTATCTATGTGTCAGAAGTGTACTATTTTAGAATATGTTCGAATTGAATATTTTTTATTTTTATCAGGCACTTTTCATGCTATTTAAGACTATATCAAATTGTGCACTTTAAATGTGTGCGATCTGTTGTATATCAATGATACCTCAATAAAGCTGTAAAAAAAAAATGCCTAAATTAAGTCTTGTATTAGATTACATAGGCATGGTGATTCATGCCTATAATCCCAGCACTCGAAAAGCTGAGCCAGGAAGATTGCCACAAGTTCAAGGCCAGCCGGGGCTTCCTAGTGAATCCCAGGCTCTGCTTCAGAAACCAAAACAATCGAATAATTGTCGTGGGCTAAACGTTAAAATACACCACTCCACTCACTGGCTTCCCCTTGGAGGCATTCTTGAACAATGACTTAGACATCATATTAGTGATAGTAATAAGCTTTTTTTACACTGTTATTGAGGAATAATTAAATGCAGCATGAAAATTAGGCCTCAAATATAATTTCCTAAATGTGGATTTATTTCTCTTTTTAATAATGTAGCAAAATGCTGAGGAGAGTGTCTCTTACCCTGTGTATCATTATTACTCTGCTGTCCTCAGACCCACTATGTGTTATTATTCTGCTGTCCTCAGACCCACTATGTGTTATTACCCTGCTGTCCTCAGACCCACTGTGAAGCAATCATACTGGTGCTGCTTCTGCCAATTCTGCTTTATTCTAAATTCTGTACCAAAGCAACTTTACAATACTGTTCACAAGATTTCATCTAACTGCTTAGTACTATAAATAGCAACTAGGTTTGAATGATTATGAATTTGGGGTTATTCAAGAACCAGCATTAATAATTTCTAATAAAATTAAGCTTCAAAATCTACAGGGTACAGTAATTACAAATTAGCCTTTTAATAAAGTACAAAATATGAATCACTTTATTTAAATTGTGGGGGGGTTTGTAGACTTTTGTTTATGTGTTTTTGTTCTTTTGAGACAGGGTCTCATTATATAGCCCTGGTTGGCCTGGTACTTGCTGTGTAGCCCAGGCTGACCTGATACTCATGGCAGTCCTCCAAAGTCCTGGGATTACAGGCGTGTATCACCACACCCAGCTGGTATGGCTTTTTGCCTGCTTGCTTAATGTATATGAAAGCTCATTGTTGTCCTCCATATATAATGCTTCCTGGGACTGATAACATTTTGAACTTTTTTAAAATTCTAAGATGTGTGTTTGTGATGTACATTATCTACCACCTGTCCCATTCTAGTTGTGTATTTTAGCATTTGCTGAACTCGGTAATACCACACTTTATGTCTTTGCATGTCAAGCGTGGATGTGTGTTGTTCAAGCTGTTGAAATGATTTAGAATTTATGAAAATGTCTCAGTGACATCAGAGCCTGCATTTATATATAAACATGTATTTATCTTTTAGTTTTGTGATATGCTTCTATTTTTAAGGAGGAAAGTTATACTTTTTTAAAAGTAGGAACCACAATCTTTGTATGGAGCTGCTTGTTACTATATCTGATTTCATTGGCTCAGTGAAAACTGCCAAAAGGCTTAAAGTAGTTTGATTTGTTTTTAAAATACTGGTATTAAACTAAATGAATTCCTTTCTCTAACTGCTGACTCCAGAGTTTGTCTAAATGCTGGCGGGATAATTGGAGATTAGTGGTGCCTTGGCGTAAGAGATGAGTGCTCTTTACCTTCATTTCACATACTCATGAGTTTCTGTGTCTTTGCTTTCTATCAATATCCTGTTTAGGTGTTTGCCAATGGCCAGCACTTCCTTTTTCTCTACATGTAGTGGGACACTGAGGGGTAAGACTCAAGCAGTTCAGTGTTTATTGCTTCACAAACCCTCTGTTTTGAAAGGAAACATCTGCTTTGCAGACTCAAGGAAAAAGTTAAGTTGTGACAATGTTAACTTCTTCCAACTCTGAAGCATATTAAATTTGTTATCTCACGTAAATGTGGTTCACCATTCAGGAACTACCCCCTGGCTTCCTCCTTCTGTGTACCACATCTGCTAAGCACGGAGGAAGGAGGGCATGCCTTTTGAGAATTCATGAGAAATTTCATAAACACAATGTCATTGAGCCTCTGAGGATATTTCTCCAAAACCTAAGCACAGCAAGCTAGTAATTCTACATGGAGAGCCAGTGAGAGTGTTTTCCTTCCTTTTGTAAGAAGTAGATTATCCTAAAGGGCAAGCTCGAAGAGGAAATAGACCAGGAGAGAGCTCCATATTAGTGGACAGTGTCTTGGTTCCCTTCCCCTATAACCCTATTCCAGACTTGGGCCTGATGGCAGGAAATATGTGCCCCCTGGAGGATGTCAGAGCCAAGACTGTCCTAACCATGGAATAGCTGTGAGGAGACTGGATCCATGCTTGGTGGGGGCTAGTGCACCTTTGAAAATAGTTAAGACTGTGGGAACCTTACACTTTTCCCTTTTGGAGGGAACAGTCTGAAACAGGTTCCCCCCACCCCCAAAAAAAGAATTTTAAAAAGATGCTCATTCAGTGGTTGAATCTGGGAGGTTTGGTTTTGGTTTGGTTTGGTGTTTTGTTTTTTTTTTTGGTCTTTTTGAGACAGGGTCCCCTTGCAGCCCCAGCTGGCCTGGAACTCACTATGTAGACCAGGCAGGCCTTGAACTCACAGAGGTCTGCCTGCCTCTGCCTCCCAAGTGTTGGGACTACAGGCGTGCACTGCCATGCCCAGCAAATGTGGGAGGTTTTTGTGGCAATGGTTTGAGCACAGAAGGAAAGAGCTCCCCGCCCCCCAAATTGCCTCGTGTTTCCATATAACTAGGAAAAACGATTAAGCTTTCCTCTCCTCACTGGAAATTATTGTAAACATTCTTGTTCAACAAGTCTTTCCTTAATAAAAAGAAAAAGTAAGCTAATTTAAAGATGAGTTCTTCAGTTATTGTCTCTTCACAGTTTCCTACATTACCTTGTCACTGCCATTTGACAGATAAGATGTGTTCATTGATTGAAACACTTCATTAATTGTATGGTCAAGCATCTAAACCTCGGTTGCTTAGAAATTTAATTTCCTTTGAGTCTTAGTTTCATAAAAGTTTTTCCTTAGCTGGGCATGGTAGTGCACGTCTCTAATCCCAGAACTCTGGAAGCTGAGGTGGGACTGTGAGGTTCAAGACCAGCCTGGACTATGTAGACCCTGTCTAGAAAAAATACTTTCCTTGCTCTTCAAGGCAGTAAGTAGTGAAGACTGTACTTTTTCTCCTTCTTCCCCATAATTACTGGACGGGATAAAGAATTATTGATGCAGTTTCCTTTTCTATGATCAGATAATCGATTTGGCTTTAAACAAATCTAGATTTAGTCTTAAGGGGAGGAGGCAGAGAGGGAAACAGTTAAGTAAGACTGAGTAGCATTTTCAGACTTTAATACACTTTTCTATCTCAAGCTCTTTTATTCATTTTTAATCATCTGTATTAACAAATTTTTCTCATACTGATTATCTAATTTTTACCTTATATGATAGACCTCTGCAGATCTCCACCAGCACCCATGCTAGCATGCTTCCCCTTATTAACATCTGATTTAAGGCACCTGATCTAATGCCTCAGATTTTGAGCTTGCTCTATTTCTTAGTGACATCTTGCTTCCAAGTTTCGTTTTTATTATAGAAGATAATCTGTTAGAAATTACTATGAAAGGCATTTTGTATCTTTTTTTAAAAAAAATCACAAAAATGCATTGTCCTTTTTGTAGACAGTGACAGTACTCAAGCTACACTGTTGCTTGTATGTGGTTTTTTTTTTTTTTCCAATAAAATGGTCTTTTTTACAGGCATTCCCTTTGCTAGTAAGAATAAAGCTTAAATTTTTAGAATGTTATTCAGAGGACTTAATTCATATGTCATTAGACATCCTCATCTCCCTCCAGGGAGCAATAACAGGCAGCCAGGCAGCAGCAGTTCTCCAGCAACAGAGAAGGGCAGGCAGGCCTCAACCCAGCATCACAGATCCTTCTTTTTGAAAGAGAAGGGTGTGAAGAAAACAGTTGAGGTGTCAAGAAGGTTGAGAATCCACATGCCACTGGGTGGTACTGTCTTGCTCCTCAGTGCATCAGTGTCTCAAGAGCAGGTGAAGGAGACTTCTTTCCAATAGGTGCATTTTTTTTAACACAGTGAAACCTATAAAAACTAATATTTCCCAACAGTAGTCCTAATAATACTGCTTATTTCCTCAGTTGATATACTATTAAGCTGTCCAGGCTAGGTAATTAAGTTTATGAAGCTGTTTTAAGAATTTGAAGCCAAATTATCATACTGTTTCTCATGAAATGATAGGAACCAGAATTTGCTCTAGTTTGCATAAATGCTCCCCGCCAGCTATGTACCCCTTGAAGTCCTCCTGCCTCTGCCTCCTAAATTCTGGGATTACAAGAGTATGCCCACATGCCCAGTGCTTTAAGCTCTTTTATTCCTATCTTTATAGTGTGTGTGTGTGTGTGTGTGTGTGTGTGTGTGTGTTGGATTTTTTTTAATTTTTTGCCTCAAATATATTTCCTTTTGCTTACACGAATTCTTTGAGAGTGTGAATTAATTTTAACACAAGTAATAGGTGGTGTACTGTGTGATCAATGTATTTAACATTTTCTTGTTTTAAACTGTAATTTCATACTTCTATACCTTAATTGATTTCTTTCCTCACATAACTATTTTATAAGCAACTGGAATTTTTCATTAGGTCTTATACAGAGCAGTATTTTATTAAAAATTCAAAAGGGAAGACTTCTATGTGCTCATTTTGTAATTTTGATTTTAAATACCTTTACGTGGTATGTCAGTTATGTTTAGAGTGTTTTAAACTAGCATTGGAATGGACTCCAAATGTATTTTTATGTTGTACATTTGTAAATTTGTAGCATGAAGTTAGCCTATAAGTATTGTGCAGAGGGATTTTAAAATACAAGAGTCACTGAAACTTTAACCATCTATATGTTAAGTGCTCTATGGTTTTAATTAAAGATTTAAAAATAGTTTCATAAGCTTTTTTTAAATAATTTTGTGTGTTGGTATCAAAACTAAAAACAATATCTTTTATCCTAACCCCACTATCCTTTTGGTTTGGTCCTTGTTTTGATTCAAGGCAGGGTCTCATTATGTAGCCATGCTGATTTCAAAATACAGGATCCTCCTGCCTCAGACTCTTGGGTGCTGACATAACAGGCCTGTGCTACCATGCCCAACCAGGCTCTCCTTATGCATCTCTATCTTGATGCTACATTACATCATTTATGGGTTGATGGGGAAAACCTGAATTATAGAATCAGGTGACTATGATTCAGATCTTGGCCCTACATCTTATTATTTGTAAATAGGTCATCTTACCATTGGCAAGTGATGTAAGGTTTATGTCTCAGACTCTGCATCTCCTAAAGAAAGGAAACAGCACCTCCTGTTCTATTAATGCGCACAAAGTCCCACATACATAGCAGATGCTCTACAGGAATTAGTGATAAGAATTGACCACCTGAATGCTCAGATCTGTTAGCTGAGTCCCATATACACCCAAGATCTTCTGTACCGTGGGGCTGTGGGGCTGTGACCCTCTGCAGGTCAGGTCTCTGCTGATCCATCTGCAGGGGGTGCAAGTCATGAAGGTAGGCTGCCCCTGCTGGACTGTTGGTTGATAACTTGTCTTAGAGAATCTGGATTCGAAGGTGGCATGCTGACCTCTGTAGGGTAGGCTCTTAACACACCCTAGGCCAGTAGTCACTCAGATCTAAATAGGTTTAGACAAGCAAAACAGCTTTGGCAACCGAAGTTTGCTATGATTCACCTGCAGCCTACTGTCAAAAAACTAATGCCAGTTAAATTCTCTAAACTTGGAAAGAGGCGTTCAGAATTCCCAGTGCGTATGGAACACCAGTTCTTACAGTTTGGCTCCAGGAGTTTTGTAGCTTTTGTGGTTTTGCTTTTGGGATGTTGTTTGTCTCTTGCAGGGGGATAGGAAGGTGGGGTGGGGAGAGTGAGACAGGATCTTTATAGTTGGAACTCACCTTGTATCTAAACTCACAGGCCTGTCTCAACCCCACAAGTTCTGGGATTATAGGCATGCACCATCAGGCAGGTTCCAGGAGTTTCTATGTTTCATTATGTTATGATTTGTATGTAAAATGTCTCCCACAGCCTCATGTATTTGAACATTTGACCCCCAGATGGTGGCATTTTTTAAATAAATTTTTTTAATTAAATTTTTTGTGTATTTCATACAGAACAGCTCAAAAACTCTCATCTTTTTACCCCCGTCCTCACTGGCACTCTCCCATAGCCCCCCCCCACACACACACACTGGAGCCCATATACTCAGGCATCCCTGTCAAGCCCACTGGATTATCAGTATCCCCAGCCGTTCCCCAGTGCAAGTCTGTCCACTAAGTCTAGTCAGTCTCTCTAGAGTCCCTTGTTTTAGGAAGATCAGCTCCTCTTCATCCAAGAGCAATCAATTGCCAACATTCCTTCAGATAAGATTGAGGTCTGCTGTTAGTTTTCCCAGTTCTATGCTGGGTTATTGTCTGCCTGAGTTTGCATGGGATCCATGTATGCTGACACCATTGCCATAGAATCATATGAGCAGGTTCCCA